TATACTGCCACTCTATTTCTGTCTTTTTTCTTCTCCACAATTCACTATTCTTTATTTTTTTATACTTGTTTTTTCAATTTCATTCCTAGCATTTTTTTTTTTTTTTTACTTTTCTTTTTTCTTCTCTTTCAATATCTTCAAACTTCTCTCACTCATTCTCTCTCGTTCTCTCGTTCATTTTCATTTATCTCTCACACTCTTTCGATCAGGCATACATTCAAATATTCTTCGTCTTCTCCATCTTCGTGCAATCTTGAACATGTCCCCAGGTATAACTAGCGACCTCTATAAAACCGAATAAACGCAAGCGGATTGCGACGAGGAGCTACTATTACGCTTGTGAACTAATAATGGAGTAATTCTGGATCATATGTTGAAATTAGAGAAATCCTTTGCAAAAAATCTTGTTTCTTGATTTTTTATTAACCATTGTGTTTTTCATGAATCGTATATTGTTAGATGTTATCATTTCTTTTTTCATGAGTTATGATATATAATTGAAAAGTACTCAAACTTTCAAATATCAAATATAAAAATTTGAACAAAATAGAATTTATATATATTATCATATAAATTGATCGAAATTTTATTTAGTTATGATCTAAAAATCTTAACATTATGTATTATACGATATATTTTGTTTATATTTCTATAAATATTTATGAGATATCTACAATTTTTATTTAAAAAACACAAACAATTTGTAAAATTTAGAAAAATAATAGAATACAATTACAATAAGTATATTGCTAAATTTATAAAATGTGGTATTATATATGAAATCAGACATACTGTGAAATAGCAACCACCTACCGAGTAAAGCCGAATTTTCACGAAATCGCGCGATCAGAATAGGTATAATGTGGACAGAAGCCGACCCTGATTATCTAAACTTAACCCTTTTGCAAATATTTTTCATATGTTGCATACAACAAAGAATTCTATTATTTGAAAGAGAAGCTATATTGTTATAAAAAAAATTCAATTGAATATCTTGTATAAATAATAGAAATTTTATAAACATATCATAAATGTAAAAAATTTAATTTGGATAACCTATCTAATGTGTATATATTTCGTATAATCAATAAAAGAAAGAGATCGGAACTAGTTGCATTCATAAAAATTGATTGGCTTATTGTTATAAATTTCTTTAGTTTTGAAATAATTATTATTAATATTATTATTAATAAATTTTCATTCAAAATACTCTTTCTACATTTTAGAGACAAAAATCAATTTTTAATTATGAATAAAAATAATTTGTTTAAATTTCAATAACAATGAATAAAATATATATGTATATATTATATTAATATGAAATTTTTCTATATATACTCACCGAATACAGCTACGTTATACATTTTCTTCAAGATGAAACTATTAACTTCATTTGATTGGCGATTTGAACCTTTGAACGTTTTTACTACTTGTTTGATTGTATCTCTTAGTGATAGATTTTAATACAATGCACCGATACATTGACCGTTAAATTTTTTAATACGTTATTTGAGGTTATATTTTACAAAATTATTTACACCGTAGATTGAATAACGATTATACACTTTTGTAATTAAAATTTATATTTAAATTAAAAAAACATTTTATGTATACGTTTTTATATCTATTCGACGAAGATAACTATCAACAATTTTAAAAAATGATAGTTGAACGCAATAACACATTATTGACAACGTTTTTTGTCTGAATATTAACTTCTTTAATCTCATTGAATAATATTCATTGAATTAACATATATATATATATATATTATAACAACACTCTTATAAAAAATAAGCACATTTCGAAATGTATAAAAAACTAATTTTTATGAATATAATATATCATATTACAGCAGTTAACAGAACAAATGTTCAAATTTTTTATAAATGATCACAACAAAAAATTACTATTTTGTCAACAGAATATTTATCGTAAAAACGAATAAACTTGAAAATTAATTGAAAGTTTAGATTTATTCAATCATACACAACGACTTTATTATACACTCTAGTTGTTCAATTTCAACATCTTAACGCGGGAAATCGACATAGTCTACTGACGCCATCTTGCGTTCTTCTTACTAAAGTTTCCTTTTTTGGAAAATTTAAATTTATTTTTAACTATATATATTTATGCGATAAAATTATCTTTCTAAATTTATAACTTTTAAGTTTTTTAAATTTATATAATTTAATAATATAATGTGTGTTTATTCGCGAAAATCATTCTATATTTATATATCATATTATTTTTTGCGATATTTTCATGAAAACTGCTTAAAAACTGAATTTGAACTACTTCACATCTATAAAGTATAATTATAATCCTATTAAATACAATATTTAAAGTATTATAAGTGATATATGAATATTTAATTTACAAAATTAAAATTATTTGATCTCTATAAATATTGAACTGATTTTAATAAAATTCTAAAATAAAATTTCTCCTTTTAATAAAATAAAACGTTATTGAATGAATTAAAGCGCCATCTGGAAAATATTTCTAGATAGAAAATATTTCTTGAACACGTAATGGGTTCGTCTTTCATATATGACGCCATATTGTTCAAGAGGAACAGAAGGTGTAACCACGCCATTGTGCACATCATATTAATTTTCGACTATTTGCGTAAATAAGAAGTAAAGTAAGTGAAAAAGAAATTCATGTAGATTTGCTAGAGCATAAAATTCATTTGATTAAAAATCAAATATATTTAAAAAGATTTGTGATATCAATCTCATGATATTTCGTTCGTCTTTGCAAATCAAAGTTCGATATTTTTGCTTTATTGTTTTTTATTTTATTTTTTAATAGAATCTTATTATACAATTTTTATCTTGCTAGAAATAATAATAAAATTCATATTTCTACGTTTCATATCATTACGTTTTTTCATCGTAAAAATGCTTTTAATATTTTAAGAGAAATCTGTCATGTTAATTTAAAATGATCGCGCACAATATATTATTTTTTGTTAGAAACAAACTTAGCTATTCTTTAAATCTATTTCTAAAAAATAATACATATATTTTTTTTAAATTTAATATTTTTACGAATAATTTGATTTCGTTGAATATATATTAAATGTACTATATATATATATACATGCATATACATACATACATATATATAATATATGCATATACATACATACATACATATATATATATATATACATTCAGCGCACACAAGCGCGCTCGTGTGCGCATATTTAACTTGAATAAAATTAATTTATTTTCATTTAAAATACTTTGTTTTACATCATAAAATTATAAATTACATATATATATATATATATTTAATTATTTTTTTGATCTTGTAATTTAATATAATATTATATGTTACCATCTTTAATTTAATGAATTATACTAATTATTACTATTTATTATTAGTAATTTTCTGAATTTCATAGTAATATGTAAATTAATTAAATTTATATTTCTTACTTTTTAATATATATAACTGTAACTAAAATTTGATTTGTTTCAGAAATTAATCGAGTACATGGATAACATGTACAGTAATAATATTGACCCCTGGGAACCAGGTTATGGTCCTGAAAGAAGAGGCCATAATTCAGATTATGATTATCGTAATGACTATGGAAGTAGTAGATCACCAGAGTATGGAGAACATCGTGAAAATGATCATAGAGATAGAGATCATCGTAGTCCAGAATATAGAAATCATAGAGGTCGAGATAGAGACCGCGAAAGAGATCGTTCAAGGGATAGAAGGGATCGTAGCAGAGATGACAGAGATCGTAATTATAGAGACAGAGAAGATCGTTACGGAAGGCAAAGAGACAGAGATTCTGTAGAAAGAGAGAGAGATCGGGATCGCGATCGCGATAGAGATAGAGATCGTTCTAGAAGAGACAGAGATAGAGAAAGAGATCGAGATCGTAGAGGGAAACGCGAGGAAAGAGATCGGGATCGCGATGACGATCATAGCCGTGAAAGTATGGATTTTGAGCATGACCATGGACGTACTTATGGTTCGTCCATGGAAGGCATCCACTACAAATCTCAATCTCCAAACAACACCATAATGATTCGTGGGCTTGCTCAGCACATTACAGAAAATGACGTAGGTTGTCAACTTAGCGGCCCAACATAATTGGCCACTCGTGAGCCAGCATTTGCAAGCATACATCACTATTATTATTATGATGTGTGTATCACAGGTGCGGCAAGACATCCTCAACTGTGGTCTCATGCCCAAGGACATCAGGCTAATTCGTAAAAAGGATACAGGTAATTATCTTCATTTTTATAAATCAATTTCCCCTAAAATTAATATGCAAATTAGTGAATTGCTTTTTATTAAGCAAATTACATTAGATCTGTGTAGCATAAGTTATTATTGTATTTTTATGATCATTTTAAAAAATTGTTTGAAATTGTTAATAATAGAATGTCTTTTGATCAAAAAAAATTTCAAACAATTTTTTATAATAGTATTCAAACATTGATATTAGTATTATATCGGTACCAATCATACATACCCCAAAATTATTACAAAATAATCAATATAATAGCTGTCAATTGAATATCATTCATTAATTAATTTGTTGATCTTAAAATCAGGTAAGTTTATACCAAGAACAGAATTTGTTACATAGGAAGAATATTTTGAGGGAAATCAAATCATCATTATTCATCTTACAAGGGTGATATAAAATATTTCTGAAAATTGTTAAAATTTTATATTTAAAATAATTGGAAAATGAGATTACCAACCAATTCTATATAAATTTCTAATTTTAAAATATAATGAAAATCATTGAGATTTTTATATTCTATTGTATAAAATAGATATAATAGAATATGTGACCCTTTTTAACAAAATATAGCTGTATTTTTGTATGAAATATCAAATTTACTTTTTATAATACTATTAACAATTGTATAATATAGAAATTATTGGGAAGAAAAGTATTTTCTATACAATTCTTATTATATCTTTGATCTATTCACGATTGCGAAAAAAAAGGAGATTAAAAGATTTTAGTAGGTTTATCATTAAAGTAAACTAAAGTTCGCGTAAAGATACCAAAGAAATCGTCTGTCACCCGTGTAGAATTCATTCTGCTGAGCTTTAGGCAAATGGAAATGAAAGCAAGCGACGAAGCGAAGAAAATACTTCGTTCAAAACTCAGTCTGTCAATGGTTGGTGCTGTGATTGCCTGCCCTCTCAGAGTAGAGACTCCCAGGCAAAACGTGGATTAACTTTGGATATGTGTGTATTTGCTCTGTATAGGTGCTTCGCGAGGTTTTGCATTCGTCGAGTTTAACGCGACTCAGGAGGCCGCACGGTGGATGGAGATGAAACAGGTAGAAAGAAGTTCAGTCCAGATACCCAACCGATGCGTTGTACGCGTGCCACCGACGCCCCGTGGCGGCAAGGCACGGTAACGCAGCCCTTTGGCCTTCCCCATGGCCATGGCTGTGCACCTATCAAAAAAGGCTACTTCAATCTACCGTACCTAATTATTTATCTAGGAGTCCCCATATACTTTGCAGATTTTTCTTATAACTCGCTCGCAATTCCGTCTATTGGATTATAAAATTACATTATATTGAAAGGTCGCGTCGCGAGCTTTTTACCTATCCTCTATCTATCATAAAAGTTTGTGGACTAACAATGAAGATTGGAGGAGGGTCATTCCAATCGTCTTATCTTCATACAATGTATATATTCTATTCGGCATGATTTATTTTAAAAATTATATTTTGCTACGTTTATAATATTACATAAAATGCTTCTTTTTTATTATATTTAAGTCTGCTTTTACTATTTTAATTTTATTCTTTTGATGCAGTTATTCATTGATTAAGCATTTTAAAAGAATGAAAATTTTGATGCACGATTTTTTTCTTGTTTACATAAATTTATATGCAAACAAATTATTGTATGTTTGCTTCTTTTCATAAATTCGATTTTTTGATCGAAAAAAATTTTCGCGCATGTACATATATATATATGTATGTATGTATGTATGTATTTATATATAAATATATATATATATACACACACACATACTATGTAATCGGTCCGCAAGTCGTGTGGAATGGCCCACATTATAAAACCAAGACATTTTCTTTATTGTTCATTCGAGACGGAAAGCTATGAAGTAGAAAAAAAAAACTATAATTTCGTCAACCAAGAAGAAAGTTTACGGGATAAACAACTGCTTTGGGAGGATATTGGACGGGATAACACTGAAATTCTCTGTTTCAGGGAGTACTGATGCTGCAGGACCAATATCGTGCCTTGATGCAGTACAGTATACCAAAAGATTGCCATGTAGATAAACCACCTGCAAAAAATACACAAGATTGGCATTGTGTTAAGGTAAATTTATTTATATGATTTATTTTATTACTTATCTAATAGAATGTAAATTTTACAATAGTATATTTTTGTTATAGTGTGGTGCACATAATTTTAAGAGGCGTGAAACATGTTTCAAGTGTTCTGCCTCTCGAGCAGAGAGTGAAGAAGGTGGAGAGGGTAGTGATGAAATTAGTCCTCATCCTACGAATACAGTTCTTCTTCGTGGATTGGATGTATTGACGACCGAAGATTCAGTTTTACAAGCTATGAAAAATCTTTCATCAATGCCGATACGTAGCATCCGTATTGGACGTGATTCACTTACAAATACATCAAGAGGTGTTTGTTACTTGGAAATGGGCAATGTTGTTGACGCTATGTATTTGCACACTGCTCTTACAAAACAAGGATTGGTAGTAGATGGCAGAAAAGTGGAAATTACTTATTGTAAACTTCATCAAATAAATAATACCAATACATGGAAAGGAAATGATAATCAACCACAAAGATATACTTTAGACGATGTTGCTCAATTAGCAGAATATAGCGCTAATTTATACGCTAAAACACCTGCACAGAAAGCTCACTATCTTCAGTATTATACGCAATATTACCAAAATCAAATAATGCAAGGATCTGCTATTACTTTGCCATCTTTAAATCAGACTGATCGAGTAAATGCAGCTGCAGCTGTAGCACAATCTGCCATACAACAATTACAAGCCTCCAGAAAATTAGGAGATTCTGAAGAAATGAAAAATAGACCAACACCTACAGCACCTACTAGTACTGCTTTAGCAACTGGAAGAGTGCCCGCACATGGTAGCGATGGTAAAATATATTGTTAGTTTCGATTTAATAACACAATTTCAAATAAATTAATTATGATATGAATTTTTGTAACATTTATATTTTTTACAGCTGTACCAGATGTTAGCACTTATCATTATGATGAATCATCAGGTTATTATTACGATCCAAGTACAGGATTATATTATGATCCTAATTCACAATATTATTATAATAGTCATACGCAACAATTTTTATATTGGGATGCTGAATCATTTTCATATCAACCAGCAAAAGTAATTAAAAACTATATTTTTTTACTATATATAATTATTATTAAAGTTTTTAAATCTTAAATTATTTTTTATATGCAGACTGCTACAACTGTAGCTCAAGCAACAGGAACTACATCTAGTGGAACTACAATAACTGCGACAGCTAGTAATACTGATTCAACAAACACAATTACGAATCAAGCAACAACTTCGTCAGTTACTACTGTGACTCAAGAAATTTCAAAAGAAGATGAAAATAAAAAGAAAGATAGCAAACAGGATAAAGTTAAAGTGGCAAAGAAAATAGCAAAGGATATGGAACGTTGGGCAAAGACTTTGAATCAAAAGAAAGAAAATGCAAAAAGTAATTGGAATTCTGAATTTGCTGGTGGTGATGGCAATCAAGGTGTTGGAAGTGGAGCTGCGGATGCAGGATATGCGATATTAGAGAAAAAATCTCTTGCAAATTCTTATCATGAAGATGAAGATCAGAGTGGAAATAATGGTTTGGTTGCTGCTTATGGTGGCGGTAGCGATACAGAAGAAGAAATAGAAGATGTGCAACAAGAAGAAAGACAACATACAGATTGGAGTAAATTAGCATGTTTATTATGTAAACGACAATTTCCAAGCAAAGAAGCATTGCTTCGTCATCAACAACTATCTGATCTTCACAAACAAAATTTGGAGAATTGGTATCAAGTACGCGGTTTGGATCCAAACGATCCACAACAAAGAAACAATAAATATCGCGATCGAGCTAAGGAAAGGAGAGCGAAGTATGGTGAGCCAGAACCTCCACAGCCAAATAAACTTAAAGAAAAATATTTAAAAACTAGAGTTGAAGAAATACCAGTATCGTACGAAGAACCAACAAGAGCTGGTATTGGTTCAGATAATGTTGGTAATAAGCTTTTACAAAAAATGGGATGGAGCGAAGGTATGGGACTTGGCAAGTCAAATCAAGGTAGGACAAGTATTATCGAAGCGGAAAGAAGGGTTCCTACAGCTGGTTTAGGAGCGAAATCATCTTCATATAGTGCATTACCGGGAGATACATATAAAGATTGCGTAAAGAAAATGATGTATGCGCGTTATCAAGAATTATCTGATACATAATATCTTGAGATCATTGAAAATAGATTTTATATATAAATAATACTTGTACTCAATTTTTCATAGATAAATAGGTATATATATATGCATTATCTGAATATGCTGGTTGTATCTGGTAATTAAAGCGTGATAATCCATTCTTAGGAATACATAGAATTTTTTTATTATCTTTTTTTCTTTTACATTTTGGTATTATATTTTATCATTTTAGGATTTTTGAAGACAACAAAGAATAATTATGTTATTAGATATATTTTTTGCATTGAACCTTAATATGTTATCTTATGAGCTGGCAGAAAAAATACAATGTTTTGACACTTTATTCATATGACTTTTGAAGTTTATGATATAATAATATGCAATATGTTTCTTTATTTAAAAAAAATTATATATACTTAAAAAATATATACCTAAGAATGTATCACAAGTACCAGTAACTAAATAATAATTCTCTCACTCAGCGATTTTTGTCTAACTATTTGTGCACAATATAGTACTTTTCGTACTTTATACTGAAGCATTATGAAATATTTAACGAGAATTAATTTATATCATTCCATTTAAATTTCGTAATGCTTATTAAATAAAAATTAATTCACATACTTATGATTCAGTACAATTAAATTCACCACTAGTGTATCGTATATTTATTAATTATACTGATTTACATTAAATTTCATGATTTATGATGTAATTATGTCAATTTTACGTGCATACATATATATGTATATATATATAAGAAGATAGTTATATTTATACTCTTACATATATATTTCATATTTCTTTTTATTATGATTTATTCCGTATTTTTGGAGATCACACAATCTTCACTATACATACACATTTCTACAGTCATTCATACATTTTATCGTTATTTTTTTAAATTACACATGCTAAACCCATGTAATAAATAACAAGTTGAAAGATAATAAAAATAAGGCGTTATTGCTTAAAATACACTCCTATTTATCTTTAAATAATCAAAAATATTTTGTTTTAGTAATTAAAATTTAAATATTAGATTTACAAAAAATAGCGTATTTTTTAATGTTCAATTAATTATACTTATATTATATTCTTCAAAATCAAAAAATTATTCATTAAAATATATAACTTTAAATGCTTTGAAGAAAAATTATATATTATTTTCTAAACAAATCTTACAACCTTATTTTTACATTTCTTTTTTGAAACATATTCTAATATCCACTAGGCAATTGTTCAAATATTTTCAACAATGTAAAATTTTTAATTTAATCATACTAGACATAAGCTCTAAATCTTATTCTTCTTTACATATATATATATACATAAATTTATCACATTATTTATTCAAAAATTAGTTTAATAAGTAATATTTATAAACTCAAATATTACTTAAAATATATCTATTATTATATTTCAGATTTATAATTATTCAAATTAATAACTTAATGTATCTTAGATTTTCATTCAATATTTGCATTGATTGATGGCATTATAATAATACTAGTTTTTTTCTGTTGATATAAATATAATATTAAAAAAGTAATATTAAAAATTTAAATTAATATTAATATACTAGAAATAATATATAATTCACATTAGAAATATCATTATTATTATATTATTATTATATCACTATTACTTCGATTTTTTAAAATTATTAGAGAAACAAATTGCAATTTATTTATATAATGAATTTTCATATTATTAAATCTGCATTTGCTTCCAAAAAAAATTACTTTCATAAAATATTACATATCTATATAATACATTCTTTAAATATATTATATAGTATTTGGAAAATTATATTATAAAAATTTTGTATCTAAACTGAATTTTAATATCATATTACAATATTAATGATTAATTAACTATTATCTTGATTAATAGTTTGTCTGCTTAATTATATACTTGCAACTTATTTCCTAATATTACTATGATATCTTTTGTTTGATTTACATTATGATGAAATGTCAAAGAATTTATATTTTCTAAATTGCAAAATTAATAAAATATTATGTATTAACATAAAAATCATATGTAAATTTCAAGAAAATTTAATGACTTTAATTAAAATAATGAAATTACCAACTAAATTTTTACAAAATTTTTTCATATAATAATTCATAAAAATTATTACAAATTTTTAAATGGAAATAATATGGAAATAAATTCTATTATTTTAATAAAATAAAAATAATAAAAATATAATTAATAAAATATTATATTATATATAATATTAATATTATATTTATTTTATTAGTAATAATAATAAAATAAATATTATATTATTTTATTAGTAATAATAAAAAATAGCTAATAATAATGTAACAATAGAAAAGAAAATACAAACCAAAACTAAACATCTGCTAAAATCCAAGAATACAATGGCCTTAGTTGATGATTCAGAACTCTGTATTCTAAATTACTAATTCCATCAGTATCATATCTTTTAGCGCTATTTTCAAGATTTTCAAACCTAGCACTACTTGGAGATTCTTTTTTGTGTACTAACATATAATACTGAGCAATATCAGGTCCAAAACGTGTAACCTAAAATTTAATTTAAATAGAAACAATTTAATATTTTTATGATATTATAATTAATGATATTGATTACTAACGTACTTGAAGACCTTTTGATTGTAAACGGCTATAAAAATCATCATCTTCTCCACCCCATCCATAGAAAACATTTGAAAATCCATTAACTCTTTCAAATTGTTTTCGAGTTAATGCTATTGCACCTCCAAATAAACCACTATATGGTAAATTGTAACGAAATGTATTTACACTTGAACTCATATGTCTGGGCATCTTAGTGCAAGCATAAATGTTATCAGGATTCTGAGGTATGAGATCTACATCTTGAAAGATGAAACAATGAAAGTCATTTACTTTAGTTGCTTCTGCATATCCAACATTGAAAAGTTTAGCACGATTAAATTCACGCATTGGACTTTGTTCTATCACAAATATTCTATAATCAAGATTTTGGGCTTGTAGAAAAGGATGAATATAATTCATAAAAATAGTAAGTTGTGTTTGACGATTTCTATATGGTAAAATAATAGCCACATTGAAAAGAGGGTGACAATTTAATGGTTTCCATTGTCCTCCAGGTAATATACCTAATCGTCGCGCCATTGCTATAGGGTCTTCTCGAGGATGTTCTTCGGGATAAAGCAATTGAGATTTTTGATGATTGATCGTGATTGTGCATGAATTATCCCTTGCTGGATAAGATTTTTCCATTTCATCGTAAATATCTTCTGTTTTTATAAAAGTATAATGTGAAGCAAATCGAGCCGGGTGTAAACAATAACCCAAAACCAAAATCGTAATAATAGTGTACGATAATCCTCGTGCATAATCATAAAAAAAAGCGACAAAAATTTTCAAAATGTTAACAATACTTCTCATTCTAACCTTCGTTTCACTTAGCTATTTTATTTAAACCATTACATTATATTTCTTAAGATTGCCTTTTTTGATAATTTCGTTAATAAAAATCAACATAATTTAAAATATTTATATAACTTTTTTTTAAACATAAATATAGAACTTGGATTGAAATAAAAATATTTTATAAAAACACCTTTCGAATATATAAATATAGGAACTCAATTTTGACACCGATACCGGAATGATATTACACCACGGATAAAATATGGAATAGATTTCTCATACAATGTTTTTTTTGTCTCGAGGATTATATGACCTTACTATTTTGTCATGTATAATATTATCGATTCAATATAAAATAAAATTATAATCGGACAAGAATAGACATGACATTTTATGGAATTTTATACTCCATGTTCTGAACCGATCCTGAAAAAAATTTTTTATAACGTCAGACAAGAATAATAGATGTTAAAAATAAAACAGAAATAGGATAAAAATTATAAAATTAATGCCATTTTTAGAATACTGTAGATATAATATAAACAAAGAAAACAAATAATGAAAGAAAAATAGACATTTCTTTAAAAACAACATAAAGTAAAACAAAAATTGAGGATCAGTGCCATCTTTTGAGTATTAATAACATCTTTCTAAAAGATGCATATCTCAAACACTCAAAAGATGGCGCTGACGATCAATTCTTATTCTACTTCTATCCTTTTTCTACTATTTGCTATTTTTTCTTTATATGTTTGTAATTTGTAACATTCTGAAAATGGCGCCGATTTTAATATTTTTATGTACCTGTTTTTTTTCCATTTTCACACTTTTTCTATTTGCTCTGTATAATTTATGCGTTCGAGATATTATTGTTATAGATTTTTATTGTTTTCCTAGTATAAACTATTATTAAAAATTTTAACAGATTTTATTTTATTCAATTATTATACATTGTAAGTATAATTTTGATAAAAAAATAACTATCTGGAAAATATTAACAAGATTATTCTTAGCAAAATATGAAATACAACTTCTGTAGATTCTTAGAATCAGCTTGAAATTGCGCAGATTTTCCACCAATATGCGATGCGATAAAATAAGAATCATCACTTTTATCTATAAAAAATAAAATTTATTTTATTAATTTTATATATACAAATTAAATTTTTTTAAAATTATATTAGACTCGTATTATTTCTTAAAATCTAAATTAAATTAATTTAAAAAATCTTAAGTAAATTTTGGACTCTAAAATTTAGATTTTTTTAATTTTTTTATTTGTTAATTTTTTTATTTTCATCATTGAATAATATTTGTAATAAATTTTGATCTATAAATATATATTACTTAACTTTTAAGAAATTAAAATTTAGATAAAATATATTACAAATTATTTTTTATAATTTAAGTTTTAAATACTCAAATATAAATAATAATTTAGATTACGAATAAATTGCGCTAATATTTAAGTTGTGTTTTAATAAAAATAAAGTGAACATGTATCGAACATTTTTATTAAGCACAATTGTGTATGCGATTATAATCTTAAGTTACAATTTAGTATCAGAATTATTGATTTCTGTGCATAATTACACAAGATATATCACCTTTGTTATAATAATTAAAAAATTTTGAAGTCATAATGACATTTTACGGCCTTCAATAGATATATCCACAGCTCTTCTAGTTGCTTTTATTCGTTTACTATCTATATAATTTTTCATGTGCCTTTCAAATCTATTCATTTGTTTCTTAGTACTCTGTAATATTATATCAGGTAAAAATATTAAATTATGTTAATAATAATGAAATATATAAAATAAAATATGTATATTTACCCTACTAATATCGACATCAGATTTCCAATCTGGTCTTATAACATAATCTTTATTAGAAGGTCTAGGAACTCTAGCTCTTCCAACCCAACCAGGATCTCCAGGCCTCAATGGTCTAAATCAAGAAATTAATTGAATTATTCAAATGAAATTTTTAATATTAGAAGTGTAAAGAATTCATACTTAGCGTCTCCTTTCAAAGCTTTATTAATATCTTGTGATTTTTGAGACGAACTACCATCATCAGTTTTTCTTCGTTTTTGAGGTGTCTGTTCTAAATCTCTTTGCATTCTTTCTTCTTTTGATAAGGCTTTGAAATCTGCAGATAAATTAAATATTGGACGTGCCCATTCATTAATTAATTTTCCTGCACGTTCTTTATTTTCTTTAGTTTCTTTAGGATGCTTATAAAGATACATTACAGCTTTACCAATACCAGATTGTTTTAAAGAAGCTTGATCAATTCGTGGAAACTGAAATATATTAATTTTATATTTCATATGTAAATATTATGTAATTTTATATTTCTATATACATGACTAAAGAATACACTTACTTCCCACAAAAGTTTCAAAAGACTATCTCGAATTTTCAAAGATGGTAAAGAACGATCAGGCATAGGTGCCAACCAATCAGTTAAAACTGATAATACATTGTGTTCCAAAAAAAGCCAACTGAAGATCATGTTTTTTAAGTTGTGATAATACTTTTGGTAACATTGCTATTTTATTAGTAGCTGGTTTGTTTTGTTGATTTAATTTTCTATCTTCTTCCGATGCAGATTTCATATCAGATAACAATTGAGCTATAATGTCATCATTATCATTAATTATATCAATATCCTTTCTTTTGCGTCGTCGTGATTGTTCTTCTTTTTTACGAGCCATCATGCGATCAAAATCTGATAATGAATCATCTCTAAAAAAATCAATATATTTATTGTTAGTTTAATTATATTTTATAAAATTTTTTAATTTAAATATTTTTTTTAAATTAACATTAATAATATTTCATTATAATTTTTAATTTATTATTATATGTTACTCACAGATATCTGCTACTCCTGATAAGCATAAAATATTAAAATTATAAAATACAAATTATAAAATACAAATTAAAAAATATTAAATATTATATATATTAAATTGTATGTATAATTCAAATATATTCTATTTTATTCTGAATCACTTACATTCCTCCATCTACCATTACTCCATCGTCTGAATCTTCATTTTCTTGTTGTTCATTAGCTGTAACATCTTGAAATTGTTTGTTTTCTGTTTCTTCACCTTCTTCTTCTTGTTCATCTTCAGCTTTTTTCATTTTTGTTACATCATCATCTACTTCATTTTCTGAATCTGTTATTTCATGTTTTGTTTTTTTTGTTGCTTTAACACCATCTTCATCTTCAGAATCGGATAGAACTTCTTTTTTTTTTTCTAATAGCATCTTCAGAATCTTCACTACGACTTCTTGATCTTCTAGATTTTGATGCTGAACGAGATCTCGATCTTGATTTGGATCGTGATGAACGTCTAGATCGGGCAACTGAAACTGATCTTGATCGTGAACGCGTTGGTGAACGTGACCTTGAATGTGATCTAGATGGCGAACCTGAAAGCGATCTTGATTTTGATCTCGATTTTGATCGCGATCCGGAACGTGATCTAGAGCGAGATACTTTTGAACTGGAACGAGATCGAGATCGGGATTTAGATGATCTAGAACTAGATCTTGATCGCGAACGAGAACTTTTCCTTGAATTAGGGGAGTGTGATCCTTTACGCGATCCAGATATAGATCTTGATTTTGATCTTGAAATTGATTTTCTTGAACCAGATCTTGAACGTGATCTAGATTTTGATGCATGTCTCGATTTTGATGGTGTTCTTGAACATAATATTTTATGCTCCGCTGAAGGTGATCTAGATAAGGATCCTTTTTGGGATATATTAGGTGATTGTTTTCTTGATCCAGAAACTGATTTTGATCGAGAACGAGAACGAGAGCGAGAGCGAGAGCGAGAACGAGAACGAGAATGAGAACGAGAACGAGAACGAGAACGAGAACGAGAACGAGATCGAGATCGAGATCGAGATCGAGATTTATGTTTGCCATCAGGAGATCTCGAAAGAGATTTCGAATGAGATTTTGAATGTATACTATTGTCCAAATTAGGAGAATTTCTTCTTGATCTATCTATCGATTGAGATTTTGATCTCGAATGTGATCGAGAATTTCTAATAGGTGATGGTGAATGTTTTTCTTCCAATGATGAAGAAAGTGTTATTTTTTTTCATCTAAAGGTGATCTGGATCTACTATGTGATTTTCGACTTGGACTGTTTGATGGCGATCGAGATAGAATTTCTGGAGATTTTTGCGAATTTGATCGTGAACGAGATCTAGCAATTACTTTTGGTGATACAGAAGGAGAGTGAGAATTTGATCGGGAGTGTGGTTTAAATGATGAAGGAGATCTTGAACAGGAACGAGAATTCACTTTTGGGGAAGAACATTTAGATGGAGGATTACTTCGTTTAGTTGAAGTAGATCTGGATCTAGATCGTGAATTTTCTCGAGATGCTAAATTGAAACTTTTTCTAGATTCTGCTAAAGAAGAACTTCTTGACCTTGATCGTGATCTTCTTGAACATGGTGAACCACCAGGTGATTGTGATTCACTTTGAACAATTTTCCCATCTATTTCTGGTGATGGAGATCTAGAAGGTGATCTTGAAGTACTTTTTCTCCCACCAGATTTCGAACTAGATCTTGATGATCTCTGATTTTTAATAGAGGAAGGTGATATTGATCGATTCTTGAAGGTGAACGGGAAGGTGATCTAGAATATGATTTTCTAGAGTTGGCATTGGATAGCACAGAAGCTGGTGACCTTGCTTGTACAGGTGATGAATGATTGGACCTGAAAGAAAATTTTTAATTATGATATATTAAAAATAGAATTTTATAATTACTTTAAAAAAATATAATCATTTAAACCTTGGAGAAGGACTGATAGAATTTGATTTTGATCTACTTTTAACAGATCTTTGAGAATCCACTGATGGGCTTCTAGATTTCTCGTGTTCTTCTTCTGATTCACTTCTCTCTTTTTTAAAAAAATGATCATTTATTAAGATTTTAGAAATACATAAAATATTTTTAATATATTTCTTTTTATGCACATTAGAAAAGAAAAAGTTAATTTTATTAATTAAGTTCAAATTTATTTTTTATATTTTTTAATAATTATTTTTTAAATGAATTTGAAAAAATTTAACAATATAACTTACCTTCACGATTCATTGCACTTATTTATAAATACAATTGTACTTGTCAAAAATAATTACTAGATACTTCTTTTTCTAAAATGATAATACACGAGTTTCATCAAGGTCCTGCTAAATTATAAAATATCTTCTTGTTTTTAATAATAAATCAAAATTGTTAAACATATTCAAGAAATACATTTACGTTAAAATAACTTAAGAAATAAAAAAATTTTTTTGTGATGCATATAACTGGCTACTTCAGTTTAGACTTATTTTGTTAGGTTAGGTATATAGAATTATATACACGCACAACCAATTGCTATATTTCTTGAATTGAATGCAACTTTTATTATATGACTACAATATGATTCTATATTATGAACATTATTATAGTTTTATTATAAAATTATTAAATCTAATTTTTTTAGTTACATTAAATATTTACATTATTATAAAAAAATATTTATAAATAAGAATAATTTATAAATTGTTTTAAATAAATATGTAAAATTTGATAAAATTAAATTAAAGTTGTTGCATTCTATTGTATGCGTATTCAATGGTTTGATCGAAATTGGCCGAAGGCTTCCGATTTTCATCGAATGTACTTAAAGAACAATATGGCGGCTGTGGCAAAGTTTTCGCCGCCCGTATGAGAAATTCGCATTCATTCAAGATTGAATAGTTCACGATAAACGCTAAGCGTATTAAGCCTATTTAGATTACGTAGTTAACATCGCGAGTGAAAATTCGTTCGTGTCGTAACACGTCGAAACAGCCCGATGCAGGTCGCGCGTAATTCTCGTAGCTTAAATCATGACTTCGATGCTGTCCAGCTTTAACCCGCCTATCGTTAAGCGATTGTTGGGTTGGAAAAAAGCAGAAGGAGAAGACAAATGGAGTGAAAAAGCTGTTAAAAGTCTTGTAAAGAAGTTAAAAAAGTCCACCGGCCTCGACGAGCTCGAGAAGGCTATTACTACGCAAAGTTGCAACACTAAGTGCATTACTATACCGAGGTACGCTTATTTTACATGCTTCTTTTGTGTGTACATAAATATTGCAATTGATAGAATTTATATTTTTTGTATTATTATTTATTTATTTTCATGTATATTTCATAATGCATACAATGTCAGTGTAAAGATTTTAAGCATTACATTAATTTATATCATGTAAATTGAAATTTGAAGAAATAGAAAGTAAATCGCGTGTACTTTGCAGTTCATATATACGTATCATGAATTTGTATGTATAATGTCACATTTCATATTCATTGACAGTTCTTTTTATTGCTGAAAATAAAAACTGTAAATGAAAACTGATTTTTCATTTTCTTAAAGCATTTAAAATCAAATCCGATATTTTATTAATTATAATATATTTTTCCATAATTATATTATAATAAGAATTTTATTTGTAGTATTATAATTTTAATTGTGATCGACAAAGATGAATGATATTTATTAATCAGTGTAGTTTTTAATGTTGAAAAGAAGTAAACTTCAAAATTCTTGAAATTTGTAGATGATTTTAATCGATTTTAACTAAATTCGACATAAATTCAATATGTATTTTTTCAAAATAAATGTAATTTAGAAAGTTTTATATTTTGACTTATATTATCAGCTACTAATATTTCTTTCCCAAAAATTCTCACATGTATCATTTTTCTAACCTTGATTTTTTTTTTATTAGATTATTAGAATTAATCGATTTAAAATGCAATCTTGCAAATGCTTATCTGCGAGTATACAATTCTATTTTTATATTTTTCTATATTTTTGAGAATTAATGCTACGATATTTTTTTGTCTAAAATAAAAGTTTAAGACTGTTTTTCAATTGAATTAAGAATTTTGAGTTTCTTTTGGACTTCAAACAATTTATCTATTCATTATCTGAAATACTTTGTAATAATTAATATACATTAAAATAAATCCAATATTTTATTTATGTTATGACATATGGTTATTTATTTGTTTATTTTTTGTAGGTATAATGCAATAGACAATATGATAGTTGTACGTGCCGATAGTTGTACATCGTTATCTTAGTAGTTATGTAATAATCTTAACAAAGATGTGATCGCAAACAAATGAATAGACAAACGATGCGTAACAATCTTCGATATGCAAAATGGTACAAACGAAATTTTTTTTTTTATTTTTTGCATTTCCGGTTAAAATAAGCAATGATCAACGTATGCAACATCTGTTTCGATTGAAATGGGTGCTGTGAATGAAACTCACGTGTGAGTCACGTTGCTATAGGATCTATCCTTTTACATACGAGTATTTTCTTTGTGATTACTATTTTGTGATCCTTTTATTTTTCGTTTAGTAATCAGTGTACTAGAAGCACGTATATTCTCAGTATATTTACTTACTTACATGATTTATCATCATTAATGTTTTTCACAAGTAGATATATCACTTATATGATATTTATAATTCTACGTGTTTTAAGAAATGTTGTTAGAAATGATATCGCGATAGGATTTAAAGAATAATTACATGACGTGTTAATAATAATTAGAATTGATAATATGAGCGATAATATAAGAATATAATACTTGTGATGTAATAATTCTTTTTCACGTATGTTATATATACTGTTTATTAATTCATTAAATGTTATGTTCGATGATAGGATAAATATCGATAATCTAATCAGGATACGCGTTCGAAACAGCCTGCGCGAATAAATCGCATATCGAAATCGATTGTAGCTCGGCGCGCAGCTCGTAACGATTTTATTAATAGTAATCCTAGCCATGTTGTCGCGCGTTCAAGGATATTCGAGGAAGAGAGGGAAAGTCTATCATCGAGAAAGGCAGATCCTTTTGTAACTTGAACGAAATATGTTTGCTTCGCGGTTCGCTTCGTTTTGCTTTGCATTACGTTTTCCATTTCTCGACGTTGCGTTAGGGAATCTCTCTCTCTTGCAGTTTTTTCGATCGATCAAGATCGCATAGTACGCGTGCGATACCGTCCGGAAATTCGATTTCATTCCGTTATCTGACTCTATACGATGTCGTGTTTCGATTAAATAATCATCTACCTGGAAAATACTTGATCATTAACTAATGTTTGATTTCGTGCTACGATTTACACACGGATTCGTTTCTAATTCACGATTCCTACTCGAGGAAATTACATTTTTGTTTGTCACGCATATACATCGACCGAGTTGTAATGCCAACGAAATTATTCTTCCGATTTCTTTTGTTCTATCAGTAGAAAAATAGATAGATATTTATGAGAGATAAATTGGCAGATTAGTCAATAGATTTGTAATATAAAATTTTTTTTCTCTAAATACGAATTTTCATATTATTATTTCTAATATGAGTTATTTATTTATTCTTAAATAATCATTCATTACAAATGTAAAAATTACAAAAAAAAAAAGATTCAAAGAATAAATTGTGCTTTGTTGAATGAAAATTTTGTGCATTATTATTTGTTTTTTATCTATATATTATCTATAAAAAAAATTTTGTTTGCTACTATCATAAAGCTTAATTCTTTCGTACATTAAAACTAAAAGAAACAGAATTGTATCATTTTGTTTAGATCGGTGGAGTTTGATAAAAATGTTCCATTTGGATTACAGAATTGTACGTTTTATCGAGAATATTTCTCCGTGATACCTAGGTTAATCAATGTTTACGTAACACAATCGATACAACAAGGGATATTTATGTAGAAAATGAATGACACAGATTTCGCAACAACGCATTTTTTTCGTCAAGAGAAAAGCATGACTTGTAGCAGGGGCAATTACGTAAGTTCGTAATACCGTGTCAATTCTCGTCGAATCACGTTTTCCGAATGCACTCATAGCACTTGCGAGATGTGATCATTTTTTGATGACCTTGTTATTTTTATACGACTGTACAAGTTGTTTGAAGATAAGAGATAAAAGAGATGCATCATTACGATTTTTATTGAAAACGTATAGAAAAATATTGATTGTTTCGATGCTTGAATCAGTATGTAAAAGCTGTTTTGTTTTAACAAGTATTCTAATTATCTTTATAAACCATTATGCGTGTGTGCATCGAAGAGTGAATAATTTCGTTCAAGATATATAATTCATTACGATTCGTTTAACTGATTTATTATTAAAACATTTTTTTTTTTTTTGTTTTATTTGATTATTGATTATAAGAGAAATTTATTGTTATCATTGACACAATAATCAAAAATTCGTGTTTTCTTATATTTCACGATATAAAACATTTTTCATTTTCGCTTTAACACTCGATTATATTCGAGAAGTCGATAGATCGGATTTTGTCTATCAATCGAATGCTTCGTTAACAAGCTTGCTGTTCCTATACAGTGAACTCAGTCTTTCGAAGTACTTTCACATTTTCGAAAACGAAATAGCTATCCATCTGTCGCAAATTTTGTGTTTATTCGGATATATATAACGATAAAATCAGCTAAAATGATATAAGATAGAAAAATGGTCAATCACGCAGGATCTCTCTCTCTCTCTCTCTTTTCTCTTATGTCTTTTCATGTTCACATGAATATATGCATATGTAAATCGAAGAGAGATGAGAAGGATCGCTATACATATATCGCAGTCAGTGCGAATAAGTGAGTACAGCTCACGTACCGTCTGTTTTCTTTCCTTTCTTCCTTTTAAAAAACGTGGGAGCGCACTCCGTCTGGTTGTCCGTGCAATCGACGATTAAACCCGATTAAGTCGCGCCTCTCGTTTGATGCATACGTGGAAAGAATTTCACGGTGACGCGATTCTCTGTCCTCGAGTAGGCAACGGTGCGTCAGCAAGATGACTGAAATTGCAGAAGAAACGAGATCGTAGATCGTTATGTTCCTCTCTTTTTCGAATAGAGAATATTTCGTCTAGCCATGATTCGCGTTTTCTCTTTCTCTCTCTCTCACTCTCTCTTCTTCCGTTTAATTTACGCATCATTGTTATTTTCTTGGTGGTGATCGCGTTTATTCTACTTTCTAATGATCGCTTCTCTTACCTTTGTCGATGATTATCGAAGAACCAGTCTGAAATCTTATATTAGTCGCTTTTGTTATCGATCGATCGAAAGATTGCTGAATCGATGTATCGACAGGACTCTCGATTGAATGCGATACGCGCGGTGGCTCGTACGGGACATCTTTCAAAATGGTCGATAAACGGCATACGGGCAACGTACAGATGGATCATCGAAACGTTGGAGGTTACTTGATATTGCTAAAAAAAAATCAATGATATTGTTGTCAGTATACATTGTTGTTATGTATGTAACTATTGGATAAAAGAGATGGAGCAGTCGTATACTCACGATTTTGTACAAAACGTTTCCTCGAATATCTTTGAAAAGACACCAGTGATGATTTCGTTTTTCTACTTTCATCTACATG